CAGGAAGGAAGGGAGGGAGGAGGTGCATGTGCATCCAACATCCCAGCTGCCTCAGAGACTAGCCTGAGAACTAGATCTCAAGGTGACAGGACCCAGGGAACTCCAGCTGCCCCACGTGACCTGAGCATTCAGTCACCAGGGCCACCTACCCCAGCCCAGAAAAGCCCCCCACCCCACTCCCAGGAGGGCAAGAGGTGACTTGTGCTGCGGAACTGGTCTCAGAGCGGCGAGAGCAGCCTCCAGGGACACCACAAAAAAGCAAGCAGGGGGCTGGTGGGAGAGTCCAGGGTGACAGGTGGACACACTTGTCACCCAAGGGCATGCACTTGCAGAATCCCTAATGGCAGGTGAACCAGGAGTGTCCCAGGAGAACAGGTCAGTGGTGCAGCCACTCTAATGCGCAGGCAGTCAAGAGGGATGAAAACAGGCAAACAGCTCCCCCAAAGAAGGAAAATATCAGCCACCAGAAGCAACCCCAAGGGAATGGAAATGTATGATCTACCTGACAGAATTCAAATAATCCACAAGCTCTGAATGGACGAACTGACCTCTGCATAAGGTCACATGCAGAAGCCCTGAATTAGCAGAGACTAAGAGCAATTTATTCATCAAGGTCAATCTCCCTAAATAAATGGATTGTAACAGAAGAAAGTATGTACTAGTATGAGAAGATCTTTAAAATGTAGTCCCAACAATAACAAATACCATGCTACAATTCTTATAAAAAGAAAAAAAATGGGAGAAAAAATGAGACAGACTGGTGGTGCCCACCAGGGACAGAAAGGAAGACTTCCTTTTTGCACCTTTGAAATTATGAGCTATGTGAATGGGTTACTTTTTTAAAGCACACACAATTTTGGTTTTTTAAAAAGTCCTTAAATAGGGCTGGGGATTTAGCTCAGTGGTTCCGGCACCTGCCGCACAAGCGCAGTCCTGAGTTCGATCCCTGGCACCAAAAAAAAAAATGTCCTTAAATAGCCAGAGAACTCTAATTGTTTTGAAAATATAAACAATGTATCCATTATCTATATTTAATTATTTGATTTCTCAGTTTTTCCTACCACACTACTTGGCACGTGAAGCTTTATTCCTTGTCACACTCAGTGTGTATTTGGTTTGGTTTGGTCCACAAGACATCAGAACACATTCCCTCAATACAGGCTGGGACACAAACCCACCCCTGATGGAAGTCATGCTCACACTACAGTGTCACAGAGGGAGGCTGCAAGGAAGCCCCACGTCAGACAGAGGACACAACACTGCCTCAGGGCCTGCATGGCCCCCAGCAGAGCTATAGACCAGGCCTCGTGGACATGGGCTCACCTAAGTGGTTGTGGTTGTGAGGTCTGGGGGGCCAGGCCAGGCTGTGTGGGGCACTCTGTGCCCCATGCCACACACCCGAGTGGCCAGCCAAGTGCTCCTTGAGAGCTCTTCTGTGCTGGGACAAATGCTTCAATTCAATTTTCTTATTGAATTTCATAAAAACGTCACACAAGAGTCAATCATTAAAAATTACAATAAATGATGGTAAAGGAACATAAAATAATATTAAGCAACAATTAAAAATAAAAGCTATGCAGAAATATTAAAATGTTCTCAAAACAGCACATTCAACAAACAAGAGTAGAAAGGAGTTCTCTACACAAAATTTCCATCTTCTCCCACCATGTTGTAAGAAAAGAAAAAGCTAACCACCATCACAAAAATGACTCATGGCATAACAGGAGGAAGCAAATATCCACAGGAATAAATGAGTTGACTCTTGGATTTGCTTTTTGGGGATTTTCTTTTAAAATTGGAAATAAAAATACCATTTTTGGTGTCCACCATGATTTTCTGACACATGTACACATTATGGGACAGTTTATCATTTTTTCCAGTGGGATAATAACTTTCAAGTATACAATACATTGTTGCTAACTACAGTCACCATGTTACACAACAGACATCATAAATTTATTCCTCTCAACTGAAACTTTGTATTCTTTGACTAACATTTTCTTAAGGTCCCCCATTCTTTGCCACTTTGTAGTTTCGCAAATTTATTATTTTTATAGTACAAATAAACTTTACTTTCTTTTTTTTGATACTGGGGATCGAACTCGGGTCCTTGTGCCTACGCAGCAGGCGGTGAAACCACTGAGCTAAATCCCAGACCCAAACTTTACTTTTTAAAAAGCCCACCACTTTTTAAAAAGCCCAAACACACCACTGCCATTCACATAAACAGGATCTCTTACCTAGATAATTCAGTTTCAAGGGCACAGAAAAGAATAAAGAACACAAACATAAATCCTTCTATTTAAATTAAGTCTGACAAGAAAAGGGAAAGTATTCTTTGTAACAAAGAAAGGCTCAGATTCTTACCAAGCTAAACCCAGGTAAGTGATTTATAACTTTCAACCACTAACAGGAAGAAAAGAAACCGTAAAGTCAATGTCTAAACGCAACACCACTGAGTTAGGACATGATGTATACCCACACCGCAAATAGATACCGGCACAAGCCCTCAATCTGAGAAAATTAGGCTCCTAACATGTATCTTGAGATGAATCAAGACGCAGATATTAATTTATTCAAAGAAATGTATCTGGGCAGCTTTCAAAGTGCAGCAGCTGAGCAGATGGATGTGGGACAGAAAGGATTACTCTGCCAGCCACAGAGGCCATGGGATGACAGCACCAGGGGTGACAGCCACTGCACTCAGAATCTGGGGAGAGACCACTGGTTCTGTTCCATCATGCTCCACAAAATACCAATAAAAATAGTAGAAAATATACAAAACACCAGTCTAAACATTTGGTTGTTAGTAGACATAACCAAGAGAGACCCCACAGGCTTCCCAGCTCTCATCTCCCAAGGCTGGGCACAAGGCCACAATACCCACAAACAAGCTCTATGGGGATTCAGCCTCAGCTTTGTCCTTTATCTTACAGAACAGTGTGTGAGAATTATGTGAACAGTGAAGAGAGTTTCCAATCTCAAACCCACAAACACTGAACAAAATGAAACACCGACAGCTAAGGAAGCAAATGTTCACTCTGTTGAGGATCCATCCCTTCACTACATGTCCCAAGGACCAGCTCCAGACACTGGATCTGTGGCTAGAACACATGGGAATACATCACGCAGATTCACAAGCTCTGGTTGGGTATCAGAGGGTACCCGGCCTGGCCTTCCCCATCACTGTCAGTTCTGAAGTGGACCTGTTTCCTCTGTCCCAGTCTGGAGCAATGGTGGGCAAATGAAGAAGCCCAACCACCCACAGGTGAACCTAATAGTTTCTCCAAGTATGGACAGCAGAGCCAGAGTCCCTGCACCAGCACCTTAACTATGTCATTAAATTACAAACTGGTGCCTGGGTTCACAAACTTGATTCTTTCCATGATTCTGGTCACAAACTGAGTTGGATGAAAACCAAATGGTAAAGTTCAATATTGACCTTACGGGGAAATGTGATTTGTTCTTATGTAGTCTAGTTTTTGAACAGAATCATGGAGAGAATTGAGTTCATGAACTGAGGTACCACTGTATTTAGTTTTCCTTCAACTACAAGGAGAATAAGTTAACTTCTGCTAGCATGTTCAGAAAGATCTGCTTCTGATAGACATTTGTGTCTGGTAGGAATTTTGTTTCCTCATTAAAAAGCAAATTTCTAAAGAACATGATAGAAACCTAGTCACTTAAACAAGTAATCTTTGGGCTGGGCTTGTAGCTCAGAGGTGCCATGCCTGCCTTACAAGCTCAAGGTCTTGAGTTCAATCCCCAGTACCAAAAAAAGAGTAATCTTTAAAATTTTCTGTTCTACTCCTCACATTAGTAACTGAGGTACCAAGTTCCAAGATCCCTCACCCAAGCAGCCAGACCCGCATCTGAACCACCAGTCCAAAAGCCGAACATATTGATAAAACATCCGACGACATTTGATACTTGGAGCTGGAGAAAACACTGAACTGGAAAACCTAGTCACAGAGCCACAGTGGAGTGAGCCTGAAGTCCAGAGTCAGAGACCTGGCTTTCCATCTCAGTTTGGCCTCTGTCCAGCTGTGGGGTTCCTGGAAAATTGCCTAATTTTTCTAGGCCTCAGTTTCCCTATCAGCCTCCTACACAGGATGTTGAGAAAAAAACCAACACCACAGAGAGGAGTGAGTTGAGAATGTAGCCCCAGCCCCAAAGCATCTAGTCGGCAGCACACTGCACTCTGCACATAGCACCAGGAGCTGCGCAGCTCAGGCACTGACTGGCAAGTTCAACAGTAGCTTTCAACTCGGGTGTCCACTGTTGCAAGGCACCTTTTATTTTCAGAAGTGTTGTAGAGGGAAGAGGGAACAGAGAGGAGGAAAGACTACAAATGAAAAAGAATTATGTAAGCAACATGGCCATGTGCTCCAAGTGGAGAGGGTGGAAGAGCAATGGTGATGGCAGCAAACAGAAGCAAATCATAACACCCTGTGTGCAGCCTACACCTTCCTGTGCCAAACAAGAGCCATTTACATCAAGTGACAAGAAATCGCCAGGCCAACATAAACACCAAAAAGAAAAAATCCCATGGACCCCAAAATATCACAAATACGAGCTGCAGAGATTAGCCACATACACAGCTCAAGTGTCTCCAAAATGATGTATGAATGAAGAGGCACAACAGGAACACATCTCTGTCATCACTGTCACTCAGGCGGAAATATATTAGGTGTCTTCACTCCCTCGAGCAAACAGAGAACATCCTGGGACAGAAGAAAACAGAAAGAGGCTCACACAGGCTCCCTGCAGCATGCTCACATAACAAGGACCACAGAAAACTACTGGTAATGAGAATCTGGACAGAGTTCCATTTTTAACTTGGAGATGGCATTGACAACTCAATTACACAACTGCCAAAGTATTTTTAGGCATCTGAATTATAAAAACTGGTTGTGTCTGACACATGGCATTACACACTCTGATCAAACGAGGTTAGGAAAATCATCCCACTTTCATTTCCTCACACAATCGAAACTTACTGGACTCTACCGTCATCTGCAGCAAACTGTCCATGACATTGGAGAGAAGGCCCTTGCTGGATATTCGCAGATGCCCTAAAATCACTGGAACTGCTTGATGCTCCAGAAACAAGGCTTTCCCTTCATCTGTCTTCAAGTCCAAGCAAAGGGAGTCAAACGCCTGGGCCAGGTAATCAGCTGGAAAACAATGGGAAGCCGCCTGTTTGTCAGTGATCAGCTTGGTATCAGAAACAGGTGGAGGAGAACACTGTCACTGAGTCAAAATTAAGGAGAGCAAAGATTCATGGCAGGTCACCAGCTAAACTTAGATTCACTCCCCTAACTCGTTAGAACCAGATGGGGAAGGGGAGAGGTATCACACTATGATACAGTAAATTTCATTTAGAATTTCTGTATTCTAGCACTAAAATAACAAACAAGTCCATTTCTTATAGCAACAAAGAAAATGATTAATATTAAATACCATGAGTATTTTCCATATTTGATAATACATGCTTCCAAATATTTAAACAGCATTGTATTCCTCTATTTCCAACAGTTTCTAAGATTGTATTTTTTGTTATTGCTGCTTTCTAAATAACTATTTCAAAATGTAACTTTATACAAACTAAGTGATATTAAGCAAGAATTTCTGACTCATTCTAAAGAGGAAACATCGGGCCACTCAGAGACAACCTCAGGAGATGGGATGCACTCTGGTGCGCTGCCTTCTGTGACAGATGGCATTAAGGGTGGAGTGAGGCTTTAGCAAAGATGGTGCAGCGATGGCACGGGGATCCTCTCACAGATGTGCCACAGGTGATGAGGAGCCTCAGAGTCAGGACTGAGACAGTGAAGTAAGCAGAATCCCTGTCACTGTGCCCATCAGGGAGCAGCCAAGCTACACCATCACAAACATCACTATCACTACCAAAAGGCAGCTGGAGTTTGTGCTTTGAAATGTAAAACCTCCTTCAAACTCCCTCCCTAGGGATGACACATTGTAATGCTGAGCACAGAGCGCTGTCCCCAGAGAAAGTCTGGGAGCACCTGGTGATGCACTGGAGTCCAGAGGGTCCTGCTTGAGGCCACCAGCCTCCCAGCCTGCAGCTGTATTGGTGATACAAATGATAAGGAAATGGTTAAAAATGGACTCACTCAGAATGAGACACTGAGAGGAATGGTGGCAAATTAGAATGAAGAGATTCTAAGAAAGACTTGCACTCATGGGTCTGCTTACAGTCCCTCCATTTTCATGTTTGGCAGAACTCAGGTCAAGGAACACCAACATTACCACACTTAATTTTGCAATTAAAATAAATAAATAAATACATAAACATCGCAAATGTACACCAAGTTAAGCAAAGTTGCTAGAGTCTGTTCAGATTTGGCTTATTTAGAAATACATCTTTGTTTTTTTTGGTTTTGGTACCAGGGATCGAACTCGGATCCTTCCACTTGCAAGGCAGGAGGTGGAACCACTGAGCTAAATCCCCGGCCCTCTTTGTTTTTTAAACCAGGTGTGGTAGTGCACACCTGTAATCTCAGAACTCTGGGAGATTGAGACAGAAAAGCTGCAAGTTTGTGTAAAACTTAGTCTCAACATAAAAAAAGGGTGGGGATGTGGTTCACTAAAAAAGGTTAGCTCAGTGGTTCTGCCACCTGCCTCACAAGGACAAGGTCCCGAGTCTGATCCCCGGTCCCCCCCTCCAAAAAAAAAAGGCCCTAGGTTCAATCCCCAGTACTGCATTTATTTATTTATTTTCTTGTAGTCTTCTAGGCAGAAGACTAGAATATGAATCCTGAACTTTTTACAGAAACAAAAGTTTTATCACAGTTACATTACACCTAATTACTTATTACTAATTACAAATTACTTATTAATTTATATCATTGGTAAGGTTTTAGGTTGAATGCTGTATTTCTTTTTTTTTAAGTTTGCAAGCTAAAGATAATGTCCCTTAATAGTTTTTGGTTAGTTTTTGAACAAATGACCTTATCTTTCAGAGATAAATCAAATATGTCCTCATTTTAATTTTGCTAATAGTGAAATTTTCTAAAAATAAAACCAATTTAACTTCCAAAAGAATATTTTAAGTCTGTTATCAATTATAACCAAAAATTACTTCTTTTTATAAATATACTATAATACTGGGTTTTTTAAAAAGTTCCTGACATTCAAATGTATTCTTACTCTTCACTAAAAGTCAATCTATTGATCTTAATCAGTATGAAATAGGGCTTTTCATTATTTCATCTACATGGTAGATTTAAAGGATGATCAGATTCTCTCTGCCCCTGGAGCCTGGGCTCACCTCCTACTGGCTGGAAAGTTCAGTGGGACTGGCCTCTAGTCAGAAGCCCATGGTTGGGGGGCCCATGGTCAGGAGCCCAGCTACAGGAACTTGCAGTAAAAGAGCCTGTGATCAGGAGCCCAGCTGCAGAAATCTGTGGTCATGGAGCCTGTGATAAGGAGCCCATGGTCAGGAGCCCATGGTTGGGAGCCCTATGTCCACCCAGCCTGTGCCCGAGAAGACAGGCCAGCCACAAACAACTGTAAGCTGGTAAATAAAATGCTTGTTGTTTTATGACTTTTAATTGTTTGATAGCTTATCATACAGCAATAGACAGCTACTGCAGACCTTAATTAAGAGATCTTAATTTCAGTCCTAACTCTTAAAAAGTAAATGTTATGAACAATAATGTATACTGATAATGGTAGCAGCTAGCTTATTAAGAGTTATTATACATCAAACCTCTGCTAAACCTTTATAGGAATTCTCTTGTTTAATCCTCAAAAAGCAAAATTCTAGTAGAAACAGCAAAGAGCCCTGCCCAGAATCACAGGACTCGTGGTAAAGCAGAGTGAAATGTGTTTTCAACTACAGAGTTGAAGTTCTCAACTATTACACTGTATTGGCTTCCTACCAAATCAAAATGTCTTGATGTCTAAGAACACTTCTCTAGGCCTGAAACCCAAGTCCACACCTTAAAAATACATAAATCTTTGTAAGTTGAGGGCAAACTCCCAAGTAGGGCAGGGCAGAATTAGCTCTAATCACACATTTATAAAGAGCAGCATATATTTAATTACATCTAGAAGAAACCTGTCGCTAAACCAAATAACTTTATCAGCTAAGATTCCCATGGCCCCTTTCAACAATTACTTCAAAATTTAACTCACAGACTAGTGTGCATACTGAGCATTCATGTAATCTCCATGTCTGCACACTTACACTGTTAACAACATGGACACTGTACCATCCCCAAGGATGCTGTGATGGACCAGTGTCCGGGCAACAGACCCCTGGATCCACTACACTCATCTCTTGTGGAAACACCTCCTTTACCCTCTGGGGACAGATCTGAGCTGGCCGAGCACAGAGGCGCACACAGACAAAGCACTCAGGGTTGGGATGGCTCCTGCCCTTCAAGACTCCAGCACTGCTTCTGTCAATTCTTTTCCCTCATTATTACAAAGAGCACCTTAACACTTTGAACTTTTTCCTTTTTGAGTTATTTCCTTGCAATAAATTCCATTAAAGGCTATGATGCATTACAGTGGAAGCCATGAGGATAATGCTCTTCAGAAAGGGCTGCAATTCACATGACAATGACAGCCGTCTCCTCAGCCACCCCCCACTTAGGATGAATAACTATACCAACAACACTCAACTGAAGACCAGAGTCAATTATGCATTTGTGCACTGAGGTGAAAGGTAAAATAAAGGTGTATATTTCTAAATATGATAAAATTAAAATATAGTCTGATTTTTCAATTTCTATTTCCTATCTTGAATTTAAAATTACATAAGATACAAGCACTTTTCAGAAATAACCACCACCACCAAAAAAACCTCATTAAAGCCTGTTAGAGGCTGTCTATCTTCTCATGAAAGCTTTTCTCAAAAGGCTACAGGATAGAGAAATGCTTAAATTGGTTTTATACCAAAACCTTGTCTCAAAGAATAAAAAAAGGCTGGAGATGTAGCTCAATACAAAGGCTCCGGGGTTCAATCCCTGTTAGTACCAAACACACACACACACACACACACACACACACACACACACACACACACACACACACACACACACACACAGAGGCATCTTTAGCTGAAAAGAAATTTAAATTTTTAAACATTAAAATAACTTAGGAATTGGACAAAAAATAAATGAGACCATAGGCCATAAAGTAAGAAGGATGAGCAAGAGATACTACGTGACCTCAGGGTGGAGACTGTCTATTGCTGATGATCACCCAAAGTCCATGGATTAACCTTGGATGAGGTCAGTCCCCTTAATCCAATCACATGGGGCCCCACTTCCAAGCTCTAAACTGAGATCAACCCTCAATACCGGAGTCTTTGGGGCGCTTCATAAATTACAGACTAAGCAAGAAATTCAGGAAGCATTAAACAGATATTATTTAACTAAATAAATTAAAACATTAGTCTGGCAAAACCAACCACAAATGTAACATACTGGAAAAATTTGTATCAAATATGAGAGACAGAGGGTCTATATTATTTTTTTAAGTAACAAAAAAGAGAAGTCATCCAATACAAAAAAGACTGAATATATGAACAGAAAATTTACATTAGAGAAAATTCAAATTACACACACAAAAATACGAAAACATGGTCAAACTCACCAGATGTCAACAGGATGTGAATAAAAATCATATAAACCATGTTTTTCCTTAGGGAGATTGCCAAACATTAAAACAGCAATAACACTGAGATCTGGAATGGGTGTTTTATGAAACTGCATGATTGATACAGCTGCAAGGATACAATAGCTACAATCTTTTTGAGAAAGAATTTGGAAATGTTTGTTACAATTAAAATGCAGCCAGGCATGGTGGCACATGCCTATAATCCCAGCATTTGGGAGGCTAAGGCAGGAAGACTGCAATGAGTTCGAGATCAGCCTGAGCTACATAGTGCATTCAAGGCCAGCCTGAATTGCATGGTGAGACATCGTCTCAAAAAGCAAAAACAAAATAAATTAAAAAATAAAATTAAAATGCACATGTTCTTTCATATATCTAAACTTGGTAAATTTACTGTAATGTAAAAAGTTCCAACATATGAGATATACCTCGGGAAATATGTCATTATTTGTAGTGGTAAATATAGGAAACAAAGAGCTGGGTTAAATACCAGTTGGCTAAGAAGCAAATGAAACTAACCAGAATC